GGGCTGTACAGTGCGACAAAAATCGGTCTGAGCCTTGAGTAAATGTACTACAGTAGCACGTGTGTGACACAGTTTTACATGTGTATGAGTCGTTTACAAACCTGTTGTCCAACAAAGATATTTAAATTTATTGACATGCTTTTTCTCCATATTAACTTCATAGCATAGTCAAGTGTTTGAAATAACTTATTTTTGTGATCAGATGTGGTTTCGTATCACAGAATAAGGCAGAAATCATACTATTTTATAGCATTATATACAGTGATAAAGACTATGTCGATTAGCATTGCATTATAAATATACTTTATCCTTATAAAAATACCCAAGATTGCTTGAAGAACACAGATACCATATATTTTGTGCAATCGCATGTTTATTGTCTTCAGGTTTCCTCAGTTAAAATGTCTTTATCAGCAAAAAATAATAGAATAAATAAAAGCACAAGTTGTTGGAAAGTATGTATAAGGTGTAAATTATAAGTACTGTGTTAAAGCTTATAATAGCACCAATTGAATCAACACAAACAACATTTCTGAGGAAAAATATGAATTATAAGTAAGCTTACACTTATTCTAAGTTAGATCCACTATTGTATGCTGTTGCCGTATGGCAACATATCATAAAGTACCTTAAAATAATATTTTTTCCCAATTTAATTTTTTTACAGCACTTCAAGTTAGGGTTATTTTTTTTCTATAGGTCTATCATAATGTGTGCTGTAGAGGGTTAAAGCCAGTTTGTTTGTTATAAAGCAAATAGCCAATAAATACATTTGCTTAAAAATCAGTATCAGAATCCAATTTGCTAGTAAAAATAAAATAAAAAATCTGAATTAGCTATGATCGGCGCATCACTAATTGAAATACTAAGTAAAAGGCCTCAAATTTGAAGTACAATCTGGGATGTCTTTTTCTATCAATTCTTCAATAGGTAGATCTTGTCTTTCATAAAGGCCGAGGTCAGGGATCTTGGGCCTAAAAAGGTTGGTGACCACTGCTCTAAAGAAACAGGATTCCCTAAATTATCGTCATTGATATAGTTATCGCAATAAATATCAGAAATTATCGTGATATATTTTTAAGCCCATATCGCCCATCCCTAGTTCCAAGATCGATTCTATTAGAGATAAAATTCTAACCATGCAGCCATCAGCCACAGTATTGAATCATCTATATGCACTATAGATCCCCTGAGGAACAATTCCCCTCATTCTCTGCTATAGGACAGGAAGAATTGTATAACCTTGTCAAATCATCTAAACCATCAACATGTACTGTATGTTAGACCCTGTTTCATCTAAGCTACTAAAAAAGGTGCTTCCAGAAGTCATAGATCCTCTTCTGAATATTATTATTTAATCAATGTCATTAGGAAATGTCCCCACAACCTTCAAACTGACTGTTATTAAGCCTTTCGTTAAAAAAAACACAACTTGATCCTAGAGAATTAGATAATTACAGACTGATCTCAAATCTCCCTTTTCTGTCAAAAATACTAGAAAAGGCAGTATCCTCTCAGCTATGTTCCTTCTTAGAGAGAAATGGTATCTCTGAGGATTTCCAGTCAGGATTTAGACCGTATCATAGTACTGAGACTGCTCTCATCAGAGTTACAAATGACCTGTTCTTATCATCCGATTGTGGTTGTATTTCTCTATTAGTGCTACTGGATCTTAGTGCTGCGTTTGACACTATTGACCAAGACATTCTTTTGAGTTGACTACAAAATTATGTTGGCATTAGTGGAATTGCATTGGCATGGTTCAAATATTATCTGACTGTCAATAAATTCGTAGCAGTGAATGACGAGATATCATATCGATCACAAGTACAGTATGGAGTACCACAAGGCTCAGTACTAGGACCATTGCTTTTTTTACACTTTACATGTTACCCTTGGGAGATATCATCAGGAAACATGGTGTTAGCTTTCACTGTTATGCTGATGAAACTCAGCTGTATATTTCTTTGCGGCCCGATGATACATACCGGTTTGCAAAACTAACAGAATGCATAGTTTATATTAAAAAAACTGGACGACTAGTAATTTCTTACTGCTAAATTCTGAAAAACACAGGTTTTAATTATTGGACCAAAAACCTCTGCATGTAATAACTTAAAACACTGTCTTACACTTGATGTCTGCACTGTTAATTCTTCGTCATCAGTTAGGAACCTAGGTGTGCTATTTGATAGCAATCTTTGCTTTAAAAAAACATGTTTCTAGCATTTGTAAAACCGCATTTTTCCATCTTAAAAATATATCTAAATTACGACCTATGCTCTCAATGTCAAATACAGAAACGTTAATTCATGTGTTCATGACCTCAAGTTTAGATTATTGTAATGCTTTATTGGGTGGTATCTCTGTGCACTTAATAAACACACTCCAGCTGGTCCAAAATGCAGCAGCTAGAGTTCTTACTAGAACCAAGAAGTATGACCATATTAGCCGGGTTCTGTAACTCTGCACTGGCTCCCTAGCACCTAGACACGACCTCAACAGCCCTGAATGTCAGTGGAGACCATGTCATCTAGATGAGCCCTATAGACAGATCTCCTGTGAAGACCTTGTCACCTCGACGACCATCGGCACAAGACCACGAGAACCAGACGATTCCTCTGCTCAATCGTACCGCTTTTCCACTCAAAAAATTCCTGGGACGGTGCCCAGATTCTGGTTCCGAACCGGCCCCAAAACCTTGCTGGTCTTGAACAAGGGAACCTATGACATCAATAGGCAGAGCTTCCACTACAGACCGCAGTTTGAAAGGAGTCATTAGGCTTGTTCGAGATGCATCGGTACTGTGCAGACTGATCGGCATATTAAGTCAAAGTACAGCGAAAGCGACTGGAGAGCAGATGACTCTTTATGCTTTTGAATTACTCTCGCTGTACTTTGAGGTCACACACCGATCGGTTTGCACGGTGCCAATGCATCTCGAACAAGTCTATATTTAAAAACCGTCGAAATCCAGGTAAATTAACAACAACAATTAAATAAGTCAGTTCAGCAGTGGTCAGCAGAAGAGATCAACTCTGCTCTTCTGCAAGAGATACCAAGCGATTCCGGTCACAGGTTGGTGATGTAGTAGAGGGTTCTGCTCCCTGCCAGTGGAAATGTAAGCCAGTTCTGAACGAGTGCCAGTCTTGGCTGAGCACCGTTTCCAGCTTTCGCACCAGCCCCAGTGGAAAAGCAGTATCTGACCTGTTTTGCACTCTGGAATTAAACCACACCATGCCGGTTTCGTCTGACCAGAGGAGAACTAGGCCCCCCGACTGAGCCTGGTTTCTCCCAAGGTTTTTTCTCCATTTCTGTCACCAATGGAGTTTTGGTTCCTTGCCGCTGTCACCTTTGGCTTGCTTAGTTGGGGACACTTGACTAATTGCACAGACATTATTGGAAGAGAGCTGAACTGGATGATGACATCACTGAATCATCAATGAACTGACTTTAGCTGGAAAAATGACCCTTTGTTATTGTCTTCTTGCATTATTGACCAACTATTTTCCTGTTTGACTCTGTAAAGCTGCTTTGACACAATCAGTATTGTATAAAATAAAGGTGACTTAACTTAAGTTGAAGTGTATGTCAGGGTTTTTGTATGTAATAAAAATATGCAAAATTAAGAATACATGAGCGGTCAGAATGGAATTTAATAAGGAGAAGAAAAAAAGCAGAATAGTTTTGTTCCATTATCAGCGCTGTGGATTTACGGTGAGGATCTTTGATCTTCAGTGTAAGGTCTTCTGCTGTGACACAGATAAAGGAGTTTCGTGTGTGTGCTCAGACTGAATCTCATGTTGAGAGTAGAGGTTTCTGCCTGATCCTCCTGGCTCAGAGATTTCTGGTTCTGACAGCACCTTCCCATCAAAAGCTTCACCCTCTGCATAATCCTGTTTTATTCTTAAAATTTTTGCTTTGAAGCTCTCTAATCAGAGCTTATGTTCTGCTCTCGACCACTGAATCATCAATGAACTGACTTTAGCTGGAAAAATGACCCTTTGTTATTGTCTTCTTGCATTATTGACCAACTATTTTCCTGTTTGACTCTGTAAAGCTGCTTTGACACAATCAGTATTGTATAAAATAAAGGTGACTTAACTTAAGTTGAAGTGTATGTCAGGGTTTTTGTATGTAATAAAAATATGCAAAATTAAGAATACATGAGCGGTCAGAATGGAACTTAATAAGGAGAAGAAAAAAAGCAGAATAGTTTTGTTCCATTATCAGCGCTGTGGATTTACGGTGAGGATCTTTGATCTTCAGTGTAAGGTCTTCTGCTGTGACACAGATAAAGGAGTTTCGTGTGTGTGCTCAGACTGAATCTCATGTTGAGAGTAGAGGTTTCTGCCTGATCCTCCTGGCTCAGAGATTTCTGGTTCTGACAGCACCTTCCCATCAAAAGCTTCACCCTCTGCATAATCCTGTTTTATTCTTAAAATTTTTGCTTTGAAGCTCTCTAATCAGAGCTTATGTTCTGCTCTCGACTGGACCGATGACCCTAGAGGTCATGAGAATGTGATGTGCGGCACACTGTGTGCTGCTTTTGCTTGATGTCATGTACGTTGGAGTTGTTAAAGTCAGATGTGATGGGATGCCACAGTGTCTGATGGTTCTGATGGTGTCGTGTCTCCTCTAGGCCACAGTGTCTGGTGATGACTGGAGCTCCAAACTCACGTCCAGCTCTTCATCATCTGGTCCATGCCTTCACCAAGAACGTGGGTCTGATGGTGTGTGGCCATGTGCGCATCGTGAGTACCTGAACAATCCGTCCTGCATTCCTACTGTGTGTTGTTTTAGGAGCGAGTAGAACGTTGAATGGTTTGGTCATGCAGCTCTTATTGGAACATGTTCTTGGAATAATAAAACTCTGTGGGGACAGAGATTATAGTAGTGTAGAATAAACCAGTCTGTATGGACCATGCCAGCCACAAGTACATTGTCTGAAAAAGCCTCCGTTGGCTCATTCAACCATGAGCTGATCTCTCCATATGTGTATTCGTTCCCAGAGCTCCCGGCGGCCCAACTTCAAAGAGATATACAGCGATATGCTGCGCTACCAAAGGTGGCTCCTCAACAACAACTCCAAGGCATTTTACACGCCTGTGGTGGCTGAAGACCTTCGTCAAGGAACCCAGTACCTGCTGCAGGTGTGTGTGTGTGTGTGTGTGTGTGAGAAGGGGGGGTTTATAGCCCTATTCCCAAAAGATTTGTTTAAGACTTGTTTATGGGATCTTGCTCACTGATTGATTTGAGCATGTTTTTACTTCTACACATGTCCGATCTTTACAAAAAATATGCCCCTTTGCACAGCCTAAAATTGGGGTTTTCTATCCTTTGATTTCTTCACTTTCTGCCTAGTACATGTGAGCCCATAATCTGCTCATACTGAATTCTGTTATAACCAGGGCTTGACGTTAACACCCACCAACCGGCCTAATGCTGTGGCGGGTAACACGGTCACTCCCACAAGCCACTTTGGCGGGGTGAATTTTATATACGGTAACAGATCTCGGCATTAATGCTTGTCTAGGACAAGTGGATTTTTTGAAGGGGCAAGTGAAAGGGAATTTTACTTGCCCAGCCTGATAACTAATCTGATTAAAGCATCTAACTAGGGAAGCACTGACATTTCGGAGAGAATTTTATTACATTTGTTGTAAACAGCGATTGATAATGGTGCAGTCTGTCTGTGTGTGAGAGAATCTTGTGGAGAAATGTAAACAAATTATCACAACTGCACACAGAAGAAGCATAATGCGGTAAAAATGTAGTATGGTACATTTTTAATGTACATCGATTACATTGATTTTATTCAAGAGTTCAGTCAACACTGACAATATTGTACTAAAATGTAAGTCACTTAATATGAACTACTTGATTGTTTTTGTTCGATTTGATTAACAAAAATAGTTTTGTTAATCAAAACAGAACAGCAGAGCAGTCGCGCATCTCTGCGCGACACACAGCGCTGTTTCCTTACTGAATGATTCAGCGTTTCTGAATGAATCATTTGAGTCAATGATTCAGTGATTCATAAAGACAGGCACTCACTTCATTCTTAAATGAATCAGCCGTCTGAACGAATCGTTTGAATGAATGACTCAATGACTCACTGATTAAGATCTACTGGCGGTTTACTTTCATATTTAAAAGTATCTTATCCTTGCATTTTTCTCCCCAACATTTCATATTTGTATATTAAAAAACTGATTTAAAACCGCAAGCTCGTAACATTATTTATGCTGTTGTACTTTTGCAGTGTGAATGCTTCATTAAAGTGTGTGTGTAAATGCATCTAAACACTTCAGCCGCTTCTGTTTCTTCTGCAGGGGGAAGATCGGTTTTGTTCATAATGATTTCATTTGATTGGTAACAGCCCTATAGTGTCTTATTAGATGAAGTGAAATTATTAATAAAATGTAACTGCCCTTTATATAGGCAAAAAAAGACCTTGAAATCAATTTAAATCAATTTTAGTATGCAGTAACTTTAGTTATATAAAATGTCATTTCCAACAACAAAATTGTGGCCAG